GAGCTCCAGATCACGTCCCAGGATCACCGGAACTGGCTGGGCCGGTAGCGGACAGAATGGGTGTGTTTGGACAGGTACCGGCGGGACTGCTCCAACTGCTCCTCCGAGCTCCCGATTATGTCCCAGTATCACCGGAACCGGCTGGGCCGGTAGCGGCCAGAATGGGTGTGTTTGGACGGGTATCGGCGGCACTGCTCCAACTGCTTCTCCGAGCTCCAGATCATGTCCCAATATCACAGGAACAGGGTGGACCGGTAGCGGGCCGAACGGATGTGTTTGGGCGGGTATCGGGGGGACTACTTCAACTGTGCCAGACGCTCCTCAGAGCCCCGAACTATCCCCAATCATGACAGCAACATGTGTACCTCAGAACACGTCGTGCGTTCCTCGTTTGCCGGCCCTGCAAAACGGGACTAGATACCCTGGTGCCAGCTCCGGTGCAAAGGCAAGAAATAGTGGTATTAATTCGTTTAGCCTCGGTCTTGTGTTAGGGGCTGCTTTCGCACTTACGTAGGTAGAATGATGTGTTTGGCAATTGGTTGACGTTTACATTTTTATCGCGTTACCTTGATGTATGTACTTGTATTTTCATCGTGTATTCGGAAGCAGGCATTAGTAAGGATTTATAGCTTAACGCTACAACCAAAGATGGGTAGAAGAATCTACTATTACTTGTATAATTTATCCTTGTTTAGGTCAAGCTTCGTCTCCTGCAGTGCATTTTAATTCAAGTGATACCACTCTTATCGTGATCATTATTGTTACCATCGGCTACAATCTCTTCCCCTACTAAGTTACACCCTTCATGTCTTCGTAATTCTGACATAATTGTTGGCACTTTTATAGTAACCGCATTCCGAATACACCATGGGAATACAAGTACTGTACTCGAGTACTGAAATAACAACGAACTATTCTAGATAAGGTTATGGTTAGTCAATACAGTAAGAGATTAAACAGTAGACAAGGATATTCGTGACATGTCGAAGATGGGTGGGATTCCACTAATCGTACCAGGGAAGAAAGTATTCAAAAATACGAGTTGTGAGTTTATATCAATCTTAGCGGTGGCACCCGGACACAATATTTATCCCAATGTTCATGTATTTCTTGAGGGGCACGAAACAGGGGGAGCTTTGCCGTTTTCTTTTCTGTACCGTATAAGTAGTACTGTGTCTTAGAGATTTTACGGTATTTTCTTTAGTATTTAACTTAGATCCTACACGCTCAAGCAACATTTGAACGTACTGTACGGTATCATACTGTTCGCTGAGTGGCGGCGAAGGCCTGGAATCAATAAGGGAAGGTTCGATAGACTTACCTACAACCCCCGGCACAAGTAGGTGTTAACCTCCCAGTTCTGATCCAGCAGCAGAGCTTCGGTTTTCTTAGAAGTTATTAACATTGGTCACAGTCACAACTAAAACACATTGCTTACACTCCTGAAACCGGCTTACCGGTAGACGACCTCCTACCCGAACACCCCCCTACCCGGACAAACACTGATTGGTGGGTTTTGTATGAGGAACCACCTTAATTTCATATTATTTATCCTAGTTAAACCTATCCGGCGTGATCATCACAGTAGCCTCAGTTCATCCGAAAGTTTCTTATTTCGGTTTAGCTGTCCAGGTGAGGGGGGTGTTCGAGTGGCCCCAGAGACCGTCTACTCCGCACTTGTAAGAACCTGGGCACCAGAGGATGATGAAATCAAGAATAGACTTTGATGACCTACCAGTAGTTCACCACCTCCCCAAGCCCTAGGTGTTTGAGGAGCAAGTTCTTGGGTATGGTAATTGAGACACTGCAGACCGATCTGCAACTACTTGTACTTCTATGGTGGGGAACACTTAGACCGCCTCAACAAGAATGGCTTCAAGTCTCTGTTGGAAATGCTGCTCGGCATGCTAGCTATCGCCCGTTCACTATTACCCATGCGCGATCGCCTGTTTATTCACCATTCGCTTTCCGTTGTCCATTCGCTTTCCGTCGCCCGTTGGCTTTGTCGCCTGTTCGCCTGTTCGCTTTGTCACCCGTTCGCTTTGTCGCCTGTTCGCTTTTTCGCCCGTTCGCTTTACGGCGTTGATATCTGTCGTTGATATCCATTTCAATCTCCCGTTCGCCCACTCGGTTTCCATCGCGCGATATCCCTCTTTATCGCCCGCTCGTTGTTCGTTACCAGCTGTGGGCTTGGAAGCCATGGGAACAGCGGGAGAGTCCCTTGTGAGGGAGCGGGATGCGTGGAGGAACGGTATGCGGGAAGGAGCGGTATGCGGGGAGGAGCGGAATGCGCGGTGGATAGGAGCGTTCTTTGAAAGGCCTGTATTTCTTTTGTTAGCGCAGGAGTCAGAAAGGGGGAAAAGCGGGAATAGAATGGATATGTGTAGTCGCTGTTGGAAGGTTAGCCTGAGCGGAGGATTTGTGTTTGCATTTTTGGAATATATATATCCCCTGTCTTTACTATTAGCTAAGTTTCTTTTAGAGTGCGAAAAACAGAGAGCGCGAATTTGAGATCTTCTTACCTTTTACCCAAGTCCTGGTGTGTGTGTTAGTTGTGAGAACAGAAGGGATCGCAAGAAAAGATTTTCTCTTACCCCGCTTTTAGTCACTCTTGGCGTTTCGAAACGTGTGAGTGATAGCTGGTGATCCGGGTTGCGATCGTGGATTTTGCTCCGGTGACATACTTGTTTAAAAGTCTCAAGGGCAAGACCAAAAAGTTGCACTATCAAAGAGAGTCAATTGGGAATTAGCTGCAGAGGAGAACTTCATTGCTTTCATGCGGGAGTGGCAGTGCGATTGCTTGGGTAAAAACGAATAAATCAAGATAGCCTGTACAGAAATACTCAATTTGACGATATTATACGGTATTGTAATCCAAGAAATAGTCTATGGAAATTTTTTTTGTGAGATAAACAAATAGATCTAGTAATCACCCAGGTTGCAAATCTATACACAAGAATCTCTCCAAGAGTTATATTTAAAATACGTATTGTATGTAGAGTGCCCTTAACACCGAATGATGGGCGGTTTAGTACTTACAGTGATGCGCCGGGGTGATGGGGCGGCAGCGATGCGCCGGGGTGCTGGGGCGGCAGCGATGCGCCGGGTCGCGGTGCGTAGCCCCTGGAGGAACTTGTTATTTGCTCAGAAGAATCAAAAAAAGGATCCTAACGCGCCCCAAAGAGGCATCCAGGGCACCGCTTTCGGACCCTCATCGTGAAAGATCACTCATGCTGGACGGAACCGGGAGAAAGGAGAGGGGGGGGAGGAACCGGCGGGGGGGGCTGGGATGGTGGATGTGGAAACAGGGATGGAATTGTCAGAATGGATGAATGGATGAGCGAGCGAGCGAGGAGTGGTACCGGTAAGCTTATCGCACCTATTCCGTTTTATTCGCTGTGATATTAGTTATCACTCGTGGGTATTGGTGGTCGAGTAATGTGATACTGTAAGGAAGAGGTACTGGTAGTGCTTGGGTTTGAGGCCTTGGGGGATGATCTAGCGTTTATATCTTTTATCTATGGTATGATACTCTACTATATCATACACGCACTCATCCATTAGGTTGAAGATACCAGAGGATCACTACAAATCACTCGCGTTCTACCCTATACCCTGTGTGCCCACTCACTCACCCATTCACCCACTATAATAGCTCTCCCAGCGTTTCACCGTGTACCGCTATCATACCGTATCGCAGCGGCAGATGGGTGCACTTACGGATTACCGTGCTGCGTGGACACTGCGTATCATCGCGGTTAACAATGGCTGTTTACCTATTCATTGATTGATTGATTGATTGATTGATTGATTGACGAGAATTAGTGCTCGTGCTGGGTGGAGGGGGGACTGAGAGTTATACCGGTAGGATACTGGAGTGTGATACAGGATCTGTTTTCAATATGGGCCTCCAGGAAATATAGGGCGCAATTTGTTCTGGAAGGTTTTCCCAGGCTCTTTTTTTTCTTTCTTTTTATTTTTTTCCTTTACGGTTTCATGTTGCGACCGAGACGGTACTCGAGTACAAATTATACGCAGCACATGAGTTATGCTCGCACGGACGTGCGTGATTGGGAGCACCGTAGGGCGATGGCATCATACATTCCTTCGGCTCTGGTATTTTTAGGGGTTCTCATATATATACGCCTCCGGGTGTTACGCTCCGACTGGATAGCCTGGTATCATATCATCCCGTGACATACCTAACTCCTAGGATAAGAGGAGTTTTGCGGAACGGTGTAGTAAGGCGTCGTGCTCTTTTTTTTCTTTTTTCCACCCCTCCGGTGTCCGTCGGTGTAGAATGTCCTGCGAAGAGCATTACCGGTACTCGAGTATATTATGGTTGGGTACGGTGCTCACCTCCCAGTGCCAGACTGCGCCTGGGCTGGTGTTTCCTGATATCCGCCCCCCCTTACATTATCGCTATTGCAACCGCGTCAATCTTCTTATCGGTACTCGAGTACGTTCTGACAGGTGTCCTCGATCAGCGACGCTATGACCTCGGGGTACACGATACTCGTACTTGGTTCCCTACGGTATTGCGTTCCGGTACCGGTATGTGCCTACAGTACGAGCAGTCGCAGGTAGCGACGTCTAGGAAAACCTACCGGTAGCCTTGCTGGCATGGCCGGGTTGGTATGGGTCTTGCTTACCAGATTCCGGTGTGTTGTGTGGGTTTCGATTGGAGGGAGGAGGGAGTGGGCTATCGGTAGGCTGGACTGTGCCGTAGTAGGATTATTATTGTGCTGGTGGTGGGGGACTTCCCGTAAGTCTATCGGGAGTAAGGTCTATTGGAATAGAGAGCTGAATAGAAGATATGACTGCCCGTAAACAGCAAGATTCCAGCCAGATTGGGAATAAACTAAAGCACTAGTGCAATAACAGGGTTTCTTGTTAGATAGACATACTCTATTTCATTGGAATAGATAACTTGGATAGAAGGGGGGTCCCACCCCCCCTTTCTAACAGCTGGTTCTAAGCACCCTCTCATATTGTGCAATATTCGGAAATCTCTGTTCTATCCTGGTGGTATAGACCTACGGGAAGTCCTCCAGTGGCGTATGGGTGATTGTGTCTATTGTGGGTCTTTGATGTTGGCCTGGATTGAGAAACTGTTGGCGGGGTTTATATACCGGTGGTAGAGGGAGGAGTGCCGGTATACTCGCAGTTGTTTCTTGTATGATTACCGTAGAGGATTAAAAGGAGGGGGAAAAAAGGAAAAAGCATAAATTTTGGTAAGAGGGGAACCCTGAAACACTGAAGTCCGCTAGGCAGCGGGGCGAATGTGGGCTCGGGCTATTTGCGCCCCTGTAGGTGGAGGAATTGTTTCTTTCTGAGGAATACCACCAATGTTATTCTCTACGTCACTGTAGCATGATATATGTACTTGCAGTTTCTCCTACAACACGCGGCGTAAAACCTGGCATCTTTGAGCCATCTTAGAGCTACTTCCCTGAGCAGCTTATCCTCTCAGGCGAGAAAGGGAAGGGCCTTCGGAGCGGCGTAGTACAGTCGTTGCTTGTGCTGGAAGTTGGCTCTCTATGCGATTTAGGCCGTTGAAATATCCCTAACGGTAAGATCCGGGTTTTAGTGATTCTTGCAAACCCGGCCCTTAAACTGCGGGCAGTTTATCTTCGGATTGAGCATCGAAACGAACAATATCGTAACAGGGGTCGATAGATCATAGATGCGAATGATTGCTTGTGAACCTCGCTAAAGCATGATGGATTACAAGGCACTGCGCTAACGTCGATAAAGTAAGGGCGACAACCCCGGCTCACTCGGTGGCCCCGGATCCCCAACATCTGCAACCTCTCGGAGCTCTCGGGGGCCTGCATACAGTACCAGTGCGGCGACTAGATAAATACCCGAGCGAGGTGTGTACGAGTACTGTGCTTGAGTAAAATGTGCCGCAGACCGCTAAGTTAGCAATTTCGAGGAGGTTGGGGAGCGGGATGAGGGTTAGCTCTGCCTTCCGCGGCTAAATTGCCATATGATACGGTAGAGTAAGCCGGGGGCCGTACCAGACCTATGGGGCCCGCCATCTCTCTGCCTCCTCGTTACCCTCGCACCACACCCACCATATCATACTGTATTGTTGCGCCGACACAAGCAGAGCAGAAAATGACTTCTTCGGGATTCCCGGTCTACGTCCTCGGCGTGGGCATGACCAAGTTCACAAAGCCTCGCGGCCAGATAGACTACCCCGAAATGGGCTACGAAGCCGGCATCAAAGCCCTCGCAGACGCGGGTGTGAACTACGACGACGTGGACACGGGGGTCGCCTGCTATGCCTATGGAGACTCTACGAGTGGGCAGCGGGTGTTCTACCAATTCGGTATGACGGGGATACCAATCTACAATGTGAACAACAACTGTTCGACGGGGTCGACGGGGATGCACTTGGCGCGCAGGTTCCTCGCGCACGGGGCCGGGAACGTGGCGCTGGTCGTGGGCTTCGAGAAGATGCTTCCCGGGAGCCTACGGACTCTCTTCTCGGACCGCACGAACCCGCTCGACAAGAGTTATATCATGATGGTGAATACTAGGGGAGTGGATCCTGAGCGGCCGGGAGCCGCCCAATTTTTTGGGAACGCCGGGAGGGAGTATATGGAGAGGTTCGGCGCTACAAAGGAGGACTTTGCGGAGATTGCTAGGGTGAATCATCAACATTCTCGGAGGAATCCCTACTCGCAGTTTAGGGATGTATATACGATTAAGCAGATTATGGAGAGTCCCGAGATTTGGGACCCGTTGACGAAGCTGCAATGCTGTCCTACCAGTGATGGGGCTGCGGCAGCGGTGCTGGTTAGTGAGACGTGGCTGCAGGGGCATCCGGAGTTGAGGGAGAGGGCGGTACTTATTGCCGGGCAGGCTATGGCTACGTATATTTCCTCTACCATGCCTCTGATTATCCTAAAGTATATCTAGATGTTGACTTAAATAGAGACTCTCCCGATTTGTACTCCAAAAGCGCTATCGACCTGGTTGGCTTTGCTATGACCAAGTCTGCAGCAGAGAAGGCCCTCTCGGAAGCGAACGTTTCCCCTAGCACAATCAAGCTTGCAGAACTCCACGATTGCTTCTCCACAAACGAACTAATTACCCTCGACGCGCTATCCCTCTGTCCGCCTGGCAAAGCCCATGAAATGGTCCGCAACGGCGATATCACATACGACGGGCGGGTGGTTGTAAACCCCTCTGGCGGCCTAATCTCCAAAGGCCACCCTCTAGGCGCTACAGGATTAGCCCAATGCGCAGAACTCGTCTGGCATCTACGTGGATGGGCTGGAGAACGCACCGTGGAGGGTGTAGGTGCGGCATTGCAGCATAATCTGGGCCTTGGTGGGGCAGCGGTGGTAACGGTGTACAAGAGGGCGGATGGAAGCAAGAGTAGGCGCTTGAGTGACAAGGAGTTGGAGGGAGTTGCGGGAATTGCAGGGAGAGGGTACAATCCTGCTGTTGAGGCCAGGGCGGTGACTCAGAGCGAGATTGATGTTGGCAAGAGCAGGCGCGCTGCTAGCGGGTGGATGGACGGTGGGAAACTTGGAGAGACGAGGCTGTAGTGGGCATTTGGGTTGGGATGATAAGGTATTTTGTGTTCGGAGGGCTTCACTCTCACCATAATGATTTGTAGTTTTAGCTTGCTCTGGTTGAGGAGCTTCCATCATGGATATCGACTCGTAGGGAGTTTATGCGTGATGCTACACACGTTTGTGAGCACCGCACGGGTGTCGTGCCCGGCACAAGTAATAGAGCCACAATACTATTATGTGCAATTCCGTGTCTTCTCTTGACTGTCTAGTTACAGCAGACTCCGATTCCCATTCCCGGTTATAGAAGCCCTCTGGTTGCCCTCCATGAGGGAAGTTTGCTATGATCAGCACAATCCCACATGTGCAATCCCGAGGATCCTAAAGTCCCTTGAACGCTACTCGTAAGCGTCCCCGCCCCCTCTCTACTGCTGAGTCCTCATGAGAGGTCTAGGCTTCCCAGGATTCAACTCAACACCTGTCTTGGCGGCATCTTCAGATTGATTGATGACGCGATTTTAAATTCAAGTCTAGGCTCAATTGAACGTTCACATAATTCCCGGGTACGGTATGCATTTATCCGCAAAGTTGGCCGAATCCCTTAACCTGTTTTCGGGCAACGGTTTCGTTCCACCTCCGAACTCCGGGGGGCGTAAACAGTGGTTTATCTTCCTCAACTGGGGCAAGGTTAAGTTCGTTGATTGGATGGGACAGCGCCATGTGAGTGAGCCTACCGTATTCTTTTGATGGGTGATATCGGTTCTGGGACTAACCGGGGGTGATAGTCCTACCTATCGCTGCGCCAAAAGCGTGAAATGCGGTGGGTGTGATGGAATTCTGGTTGCTTCCGTGATTACGAGTACTGCACAGTACCGTTAGTTGGGAACAAGATTGTTTGCTTACCCCCCTTGGCCTAGATAAAAATACCCCTCTTCTGCCCCCACCAAGCAACCGACTCCTCTTCTCTCTTTCTTCCCTCCGCCTTTTCTTTCCTGATCACGCTACACACCACATCATTGCTCTACTACCAAAAAAAAAGCGCCAAACAACCTCACTTTGATCAAAATGGTTAAGGCTGGTGAGTGCTCCCTGAGTTTGTTTGTGTGATACTTGCTATTTTTTTATCTTTTTTGTATTAATTATTGGGACTCTTTCATCCTTTGAAAGTTTCTTTCGTTTCTATTTTGATTTCACCGCTGTTTCGTTTTAATAGAGCAATCTTTGCTGATCCGATATATGGCAGTCGCCGTCGTCCGTGGAGACTCCAACGTCTCTGGAACCGTTACCTTCTCCCAGGAGAGCGAAACCTCTCCCACCGTTATCACCTATAGACTCACTGGCAACGACCCTAATGCCCAGCGTGGTATGCACATCCACGAGTTCGGTGACAACACCAACGGGTGTACTTCTGCAGGAGCTCATTTCAACCCCTTTGGCAAGACCCACGGCGCTCCCTCCGATGAGGAGAGGCACGTTGGGGACTTGGGTAACATCCAGACTGATGCTCAAGGCAATGCTGAGGGAAGTGTCGAGGATAATCTCATCAAGTTGATTGGCCCTGAGAGCATTCTAGGGGTATGTTTGTCATTTGCCTGGGGAGGAGCGTAAACGAAGATGGTGAGAAGCTGACCGATATTTCTAGCGCACCATTGTTGTTCACGGTGGCACCGACGATTTGGGCAGAGGTGATAACGCCGAATCCAAGAAGACCGGAAACGCTGGTCCTCGCCCTGCCTGCGGCAGGTCCCCCCACCCTTTTGCTTAATTTCTATCCGTTTGTATCTGTTAACTTGTGCCCTTTAGGTGTTGTCGGAATCTCCGCTTAGGTTACAGCGGAAGTAGGAGAGGCGTTGCTTGAGCAAGTTGGGGTTTAATATTCGTTGAGCTGTCCTCGGTACTAGCTAGGGCTTACATCTAATGAAATATCTCTAACCTTGTCAAAACTACAATTATTGAGCCGTGTTGGCTGCCTCATGGGGTTTATTTTTATTGTCCATATGACGCATGGCACTGACCTGTTGCAATTACGCCATTAACGTAATTTGTGAGGGCCAATTTGGCGGACTCTTTGGTAATCTCCTCCACGCACCACACCGGCGGGCACGTGCAGTGGATACGGGGAGGTGGGTTGTCGATTTATAAGCTTGGTTGGCAGGACTAAGCCTATAGGAAGGTTTGTTCACTTATTTGCGCATCTCATAACTAATTAGATTATGAGATGAGACCTCATCGGGGGGTGCATGCATCATCACTCGAATCCTGGGTATCATTATTAGCTAGGTCCGATAGCGCTCCCGCACAGGGTTACACACATCCCTTGTGCTCAGGCGATAGTGGTACAGGGCAGATATTCTACGGGTACCAAAATTTGAGACATACTATCCTCGCTTGATGGTACAAGTAGCTGGGTTACTGGTTGAAAGTATGCGTTAATACTGATAAATTTTATTGTTTTTTTTACCTCAAACAGATCAATAGTACCGTACAAGTACCGTATTCTGTGCATTTTCTATGTGTGGACCCTTTCAGGGCTAGGGTAGCTTCCCCACGTTTTGTAAAGTGTCCTCTACGCATGACAAACGGAAAAAAAAAAAAAAAAAAATCCAAAGTGTCCTCAGGAGCTCAGCACGTACCTGCGTGAGCAACCTTCCCAACCAAACCAACGCATCTCTCCTGACAGATTTCTTGCCCTACACACTCCTCCCCCCTTACATCCCCTACCATTCGAAGTCAATCTGAATTAAAACTCGGATTGACAAAGCTCCCTCATAACAGATTCTCCCTTATTGAGAAAAAATAATCATTGGATTCAAACAACTTGAAGGTTTCCATCCCCGGCTTTCCCTTTTTCTACTGGGTAGAAGATGTTCAATTTTCCCTGGTTTAACCGCCTCGCTAGGGGCTCTTTTGGATGGTTTGCTAACTTACCTCGAGTTCCGTCGAACCTGACCCAGCCTTTCACAATCATCCTGCACTATTTTCGGTCAACATGTCTGGCAGCGCTAGGGTAAAGTCTGTCCTGTCGGGGGATACACTTATACTCCAGTCTGTAAAATCAGCTGGTCTGGAAAAAACTTTAGCCCTGGCTTATGTTTCTGCTCCGAGATTGAAGCGTGAGGGCGACGAGGTAAGCTGATAGAAGCATCTATTCACTGCAATCGGGGCCATGTTGCTAAATGGTGGCTGTATTATTAGCCCTTTGCCTTTCAATCTCGTGATTTTCTACGCAAGGCCACGGTTGGAAAGGAAGTCAAGTTTCAGGTTCTCTACACTGTTCCCAATACCAACAGAGAGTATGGACTGGTCCTGTTGCCCAATGGAGAGAGTCTACTTGAGAAGACCGTCTCTGAGGGTTGGGTTAAGGTCCGTGAGGATGCGGGAAAACGTGAAAACCAGCCTGACAACGAAACTACGATTGAGAAGCTGAAAGAGTTGGAGGTTACTGCAAGCACTGAACGTAAAGGTGTCTGGTGTGCCTCTGACGATGGAAGAATTGAGACCAATTACGAATACCCCCCTGCAAGCGAAGCTGTGGGTTTTCTTGAGAAGCACAAGGGACGGACTGTTTCTGGTGGGTTGATATGCTTCGAGAGCTTTATATTTTAGGTGGTTCAATTGAGAGAGCTAACCCGGTGATCATTTTTATAGGTATTATTGAGAGAGTTATTGCGGGAGATAGGGCCGCTATTAGACTCTTCCTCGGACCTAAGCTTCATCAAGAACTCGTTGTTCTCATCGCCGGTGTGAGGACGCCTTTGACAAAGCGTGTAGACGCATCTGGGAACGAGCAGCTGGCGGAAGAATACGGGGAGCAAGCCAAGAGCTTCGTCGAGTCCCGTTTGCTGCAACGTTCCGTTGATGTCACCTTACTCGACTTGAGTCCCCAGTCTCAATTTATAGGAAACGTCATCCACCCACAAAGTGGAAATATTGCCGAGGCTCTTCTTAAGCAAGGCCTTGGTAGATGCCAGGACTTTCATAGCACGATGATTGGGTCTTCTATGGTTAGGCTTAGGGCTGCAGAGAAGCACGCTAGGGAAAATAGGCTCCATTTGTGGAAAGACCATGTTGTCAAGGTCCCAACTAGCAATCCCCGGGATGCTATCGTTACTAGGATTGTGAATGCCGATACGATTTTCGTTCGAAATAAGGCTGGCGTCGAGAAGAAGATTAACCTTTCTAGTGTTCGACAGCCAAAGTAGGTACCGTCTGAATGTTTCGATATCAGGGACTTTGCTAATTGTCAGATAGGCCTACAGATCCTAAGCAAGCACCTTTCCAGGCCGAGGCTAAGGAATTTCTGAGAAAGAAATTAATTGGCAAACACGTTGTTGTCACCATTGATGGAAAACGCGCTGCTACTGAAGGATATGATGAGCGTGAGATGACAACTGTCATTTTTAACAATAAGTATGCATTCTCCTTGGTTAGGCTTTAGCTCAACTTACTAATGTTGTTCTACCACTAGGAATGTTGCTCTCTCGCTTGTTGAAAATGGATGGGCAAGTGCTGTTAAACATGGGAGGAGGGATGAGGATCGTTCGCCTATTTATGATGAACTTCTGGCGGCTGAGGTAGCGGCACAGAGAGATCAGAAAGGGATGTACGCCCCCAAGCCGCCTGCATCTTCTAAGCTCGTTGAAGTTTCAGAAAATATCACAAAAGCAAAAGCCTACCTTTCATTTCTTCAACGTCAGAAGCGTATCCCTGCAGTGGTAGACTTTGTTTCTTCGGGATCTAGATTTAAGGTCATCATTCCCCGTGAGAGTGTCCGTCTTACTCTCGTTCTGGGTGGTATTCGTGCGCCTAGAACTGCTCGCAATCCAGCCGAGGAGTCAGAGCCCTTTGGTCCAGAAGCCCTGGAATATGCGTCGAGGCGGTGCATGCAGAGAGATGTTGAGATTGATGTAATTGACATTGATCGGGTTGGCGGGTTTATTGGCACAATGTACGTCAACCGTGAGAATGTTGCCAAGGGGCTTGTGGAAGAGGGGCTTGCGGCCGTTCATCATTACTCCGCCGAGAAGTCAGGAAATGGAAATGAACTTTTTGCTGCTGAAAAGAGGGCCAAAGAGGCAAGGAAGGGGCTTTGGCATGATTGGTCCCCTGAGGATGATGGAGAGAACAGCTATGATTCCCCGGTGAACGTTGTTGCAACCGAAGAGGTCGTTGAACCGAGGACCGATTATCGAGATATAATAATCACAAATATTGATGATCAGGGAAGGCTGAAGGTTCAGGTTGTGGGAACTGGTACGTATATTGGGAAACTTAGGTCGAATATCACTGACTTTTTACAGGGACTTCGGCTCTTGAGGAAATGATGACTGCCTTTAAGAACTTCCATCTCTTGCCCCAGAACAACAAAGGACTAGAAGGACCGCCTCGGGTTGGCGAATTGGTCGCGGCAAAGTTTACAGATGATAACTCCTTCTATCGTGCCCGCGTCCGCCATGTCAATCGTGAGGCCAGGGAGGTTGAAGTGATGTACATTGATTACGGTAACTCTGAGAAGCTACCGTTTTCGAGGCTTCGTCCTTTATCACAGCCTCAGTTTCAAACTGCCAAGTTGATGCCACAGGCCATAGATGCGTCACTCTCTTTCATACAATTTCCCACTGTCCTCCACTACGCCCAGGAGTCTGTCGATGCCCTTGGCCAGATGACCAATGGGAAACAATTGGTTGCCAACGTTGATTATGTCGGCTCTGACGGAGCGCTCTACCTCACCTTGTATGACCCGAAGGAGAGTGATCGCTCGGAGAGTAGCATCAACGCAGAGCTGGTATCTGAGGGATTAGCCATGGTTGCTCTGAAGCTGAGACCCTTTGAAAGGGCATACCCGGCTAAACTCAACACCCTCAAAGAGAGGGAAGCCTTGGCCAAGGGGGAGAGGAAAGGAATGTGGGAGTATGGAGGTATGTAGATGCCAACTATCGCGTGCTGTTATAAGATATATCATGCATGAGCTAATGTGCATATAGATATTACCGAGGACTAGGTTGATTTTCAATGAATTTCTCTTGTTTTTTCTTACCTTTCCCTACATTCTGTTTGCATGTCAGGCGGAAAGAAAAATTTGTTTCAGGGATTTTGAGTCACGCATGGCATTTCCAGGTTCCTTGAGTGGGGTTTGAAAAGGCGAAAGGTGTAATGTTTTTTTTTTCTTTTTTCCCTACTACATATCATGATCAATTGGGGGTTGACTATGTGCGCACCTTGCGTTGTTTGTTTGTTACGCGTACCTGGTTGTTAGCGGTTTGAGGTGATTTTCAGGTGAGAGTGAGGATTGGTCTCGGGTTTTGTTGCCCTAGTGTGTTAGGGCAACCTCAGTATTCTCGCTAGCTGCTTTTCCCTGGCCGCAAGGGGGTTTTTTTTTTTTACTGTGAATTTGATTGCTGCAAGTGGTTTTTCGCTTGTGACGTTGCTAATTTGTCTTCCTTGTGGCTGGAGTGTTGGTATGGTGGGAGAAAGGGGGGGAGAGGTATACCTGATATCGTTGATTTCTAGCTTTGTAGAATAACGTTGCTCCCACTTTCAACTAAAGCACTTACCGGCTATGAGACAAACGAGTGACATATAATGATCACAATAAGGTGTTCAAAATACATACACTAGTCTAGTTGAGAACTGAGCGAGGGAAAAAAAAAAAAAAAAAACAAGAAACTCCAATCCGGGACTCGCCAAGTCAAGTTTACTCTACTCTACTCCCACTGCCGCCGGATAACCGGTCTTGCAGGGTCCCAGGGTCCGTGAATCTCGCTGTCGAAGGGCATTAGCAACTAGCCAATTAGGCGTAGAGAGAGAGAGAGACCAAGGGGGGAAAACATACTTCTTATATTTTTGCAGCCCGATCAACCACCACCCACACCCCCCCATCCCACCCACGACGCCCAAAACCCACACGACTGCCCATCCCCATCCAACTACAGCGCCTAACCCCCCCGCGGCGCCGAGCACAAGCACGACCGTAAGGCAAACATGCAACCCCCAGGAGACGTGTTTCAAGTATCGCCTGAACACGGGAAACAGCCCAAAAACCTGAATGCTGGTGAGTATGAGGGAGAAGACGTGTGCGGTGTTGGGTGGCAAGTCGCCTTCCGATGGCAGGCGGGAGGCGAGTACGACACTGGAGGTTATGGCGGCGTTAGTGGAGAGGGAGGCGGGGAACTTGACTTCCACACCGGAGCCATAGTCGAAGGAGAGGGTGTTTGCGAGGAAGAGCCAGGTGGCTATGGCCCAGATGGAGTCATCGGTTATGCTGCCGGTCAGGGAGCGGAGAATTGGGGAGAGACCTAAGAGGGTAACTGTTCTCTTCGTTAGTCTTACTTCCGGAGAGGATGAATGGTTGAAGGGGAGGGGGGGTTACAGTAGATTAAGAGTGTGGACTTTGCAGTTTTTAATCTCCGGGAGCGCTGTTCGCTGCGGACGTATGATTGTTCATCTTGGGATTCCGGGGCGGCTTTAGCGTCGGCAGCGGCAGTGGCAGCAGAGGTGCTGGTGTGATCGCCAGTGCCTATGGAATCCATCCTGTGTTTCTTAACCGGCGAGTTGGGGGTTGATACACCGCTACTTCCACCAGCGCCTCTCTCCTGGGGTAGCGGCGGGTATGGCGGGAAATAACTCCCATCACCACCGTCACCACTCTCCCCCCTCCCAGACATCACCAACCCAAGCCCAACACCGGGACTAAGCCCGCCGCTCCCACCCCCCCCCCCACCACTGCTCCCGGCCTCATTACCCCGCCTCCTATGCTCCCTTATCCCTCTAACCACCTTCTCCCGCTTCTCCCAACCCATGTCCCAAACTGCCCACCCAGCGACCGTCAGAGCAGTAGATGCCAGCGCTACAGAAACTGGACTGACTCGCTCCTTGAACATTGCTATAAAGCTAGTTACGAATATGACGACACTGGAGAGGTGCTGGACAATCACCGTGGAGTCGGCTACTAGGCTGTAAAAGTCGTAAGGGTGCACATTGATGTTGCGCTGGAGTTGGGAGAGGAAGGTAGGGTCTACCCAGTTGTCTGGGTAGTCTTGTTTTACCCATAGGAGCTTTCGCCAGGGTTTTCGTTTCTTGATGCGTGGGGCGGAGGAGGAGATATCAGTGGCAGCAATGTTGTTGGGCGGCCTTGGAGAGGGCGCTCGGGGCGGGCGGCGATCGATTGGTAAGAGGTTTTGTTGTGCCCAGGCAGGGCCGGTGATGTCAGATGTTGTTGTTAATCTGGGGGGAGAGGGGCGGTGGGGAGTTGGCGCTTGCATATGTGGAGGCATCTTTTGTGAAGGTTGTAATTGCGCTGCTGGTATTAGAATTTCATGGTAGGTTGTGTGTGTATTGCATCCGTGGCTCTAACATTTTTTCCGTTGAACCGCAAGAAAAGGGGGTCGAGACACGGTCATGGTTTGATAGAGTGAGGCTCAAATGCAAAATCTGGGGATGACGACTTCTCGCATAGAGGCCAAGCTTTATTTACCGGCATGACAAATCAAGCTGGCACCCAGTTCTTCACATCACCGAACCATGAAATATTTTTATTGATTATTTTTCTGTTCTACCTCAAAGAGCTATAATTCAGACTGAAAAAGAAAAAAGAAAACCTTACGAACAAGTAGGGCAGACCGGGGAACCTATGCCAAAGGCAGACTAACAGGCAGGAAAGCTAAAAAAAAAAAAGGAATTCCTCGGAAGGCTAAAGCCCCCACAGACTGACACCTATTCGCGCGATCCATTTTTCCTATTACCTTTTCATATCCGATTTAAGCCCCCTCAAGTTTCGCCTTGAGCATGTTCTTCAAAGTAACAGCATCGGCTAACCACAGTCAGTAACAGGGTCAATTAATATTAAGCCGAAGATCGGTCTACTCACCGGTAAACTTTCTAATACCGTCGCTCAACTTCTCGGTGGCCATTTGGTCCTCGTTCAAGTAGAACCTGAACTCCGTTTCATTATCAATGAAGCTCCTCCTGGGAATATCCAGCGTAGCGGCATCCTCGGAAGAAAGCTTCTTCGGGACGGCAGCCTGGCTGTTGTACAACTCCTCCAAAAGGTTGGGGGAGATCGTAAGGTAGTCGCAGCCAGCAAGCTCGGTAATCTCACCCGTGTTACGGAAAGAGGCACCCATAACTTCCTAGACTTAGCTGAAAATACTCGGAAACACTTCTAAGAGAGTGGACAAACCAATTGTCTTGTACCCATACTTCTTATAGTAGTTGAAGATGCTCTGGACGGACTTAACACCAGGGTCCTCCTGAGCAGCATAAGTTTTTCCGGTGGAAGCCTTATACCAATCCAAGATTCTGCCAACAAAAGGCGAAATCAAGAAGGCACCCGCCTCGGCCGCGGCAATAGCCTGGACCTCCGAGAACAAAAGAGTCAAATTGCACTTAATTCCGTGCTTGCTCTCCAATTCCCTGGCGGCTTGGATACCCTCCCAAGTGGAGGCAACCTTTATGAGAACACGGTCCTTGTTGATACCAATGCTCTTGTACAGGTCGATAATGTGGAGAGCCTTATCAATAGAGGCTTGTTTGTCAAAAGAGAAACGGGCATCGACTTCAGTGGACACCTTGCCGGGGACGATGTTAAGAATCTCTTTTCCAAATTCGACGAGGAGACGGTCGAAGGTGGCATCAACTTGGGAACCGATGCCTCCACCATGGGACCTTCCGTACTTGACGGCCTCATCGATGAGCCCAGCGTACTCGGGCTTCTTGGAGGCGGCGAGGATCAAAGACGGGTTGGTAGTGGCCTGTATAGGGTTCAGCAAGCACTATGCAGACAAACTGGCTGGAACAAACTTACATCTTGGGGCTTGTACTTGTCGATAGTAGCAAAGTCACCTTCCATTTTATTAGCAAACAATCAACGAATATCGTCAAAAGATCAAACGATACCAGAGTCACAAACAACGGTCTGTAATACCTAACAGTTAGTAAACGGTTTAAGAAAAAGGGGGAAATGACGTACAGTGCCAGAGGCCTTCAACTGGTCCAGGGAGGTAGTCATAATTGTTGGACTTTGCTTGGGCTTCAGGAACAATGTTAGCAAGTTTATTGTACAAATCAAAGACGAGTGGGCCAAAGGTAACAAACAATGTGGGGATGATGGTAGAAGCGTTGAGCGTTTAGGCAGTGGAGAAGTGGTGGTGTTGTGGTGGTGGAAGGAGGTGGGGGGAGGTGGGGGAAGAAGGGAGAGAGAGAGGGAGGATGAGCGAGAGAAGAAGTAGGAAAGATCTACGGAAGGGAGCGGTTCCGTGGAGGCGTGTTTGTGGCCGGCCAGGCAAGAGCAGCTCAATGAGGGGTTAAATTTTTTTTTCCAAAGTTTGGTAATAATACGGGTATCGTACGGTACGAGTACGCGTACTGTACGAGTAGAGTTACTCGGCGACCGATGGCCAACCTCATCCATTCCCCGGACAGCCATCGCCGCCGCTGGGAGGGACCCTCGAATGAAATGGATAGCATTAATGCCAAGCGTAATTTATAAAATTAATTGATATCACAGCAATATCGGTAGATCTACTGAAACGGAGAAAACCTCCAATTATTCATATTACACGATAGGAAGATTAGCAATTGCCAATTCCGGGTTGTAATGGGAAATTGATGAAATTATAGGGTTTGTATGTTAAGTTCACGAACATGGTTGCCACGCCGGTGCTCGTCCATCCCACCCATCCCTTTTACCCCTCCTCGGACTCGCGGTGACGCTGCCCAAGTCACGTGCAATTCATCCGGAAGGCCCTGCAGAATCGGGACCCGGAAAGAGGGGCGCTGTTTCCGGCAGCCTTTTCCCGCATTTCCCGTCGCAAGTGCACACTAGGGTTGGCTACTTGGCAGGGAACCTGGGCGAGTTGCAGCATTGTATCGTAGTTGTAGGACTAGGATGTTAAGCATGAGGTCCAGCACTGTGGGGCGTTAGGAACTGAGGCACCCTCATCGTGCTAGGTGCTTCAATGCGAAAACACGTGGTTGTGCATTGGAATTGGTGACTTTTATGGTCGCTGTACGGTACTGTGCTCGAGTGGATCTGGTTGAACAGGACTGGCCGGAAGCCAAGTCTCACATAAACCTAATTGCCTACCGGTATTCTAAGGTATTGGCATTTCTTACTACTAAGCTGTGCCCGGATACTTTTGGAATGGGCAACTACGATGTCACTATTTAGAGATGTACGTGTGATAATTGGTGATCCATGGTTGAGAGTTAAGCAAATGCGAAAACAGTTATTGTATGCACAGAAGGTAGCTTCAGACAAAGAGATAGGTGGTTTGATGAAAATAGAAAATAGAAAAAAAGGACATCAGAAGCAACCCATAAGCTCATAAAGCGTAACGCCCCGCTAGTAATAGCAAGTCTATCGAACGAGAATAGGCGACTGATTCCGCTGAACCAGTTGGCAATCCCACTCGTGCTAGTGATAATATTAGCTCTTGAGAAATAGATGGTCCAAAGGGGAGCATACAACTTTCCCATTTTCATCCCCCGTATACACTGCCTGCGGCGTTGGGTGGATAGCCGAAATAGCCGCGGACACCTGAATTTCTGTTTGGAATTGGTTGACGTGCTGCAGGGTGTTGACTGACAGAAGTTTGAATTTCCCATCCACGACGGTTTTGCTCCACACATTGACCACTCCGCGTCTATGACCTGTGAAAAAAAGTTCTCTTTCTAACCACTCATTCCCGAGACCCTCGTAAAAGGCGCAACATAAGACATTGTCTTCAGGTAAGTCACAGATGTTCTGCGTAAGGATGAGCTCGCCGTTCAGGGTATACATGGTCACTCCGCTACCCTTACAGATAGCGATATCTCCCGAGACATCATTGACGCTTATGCACTAAATGCTGAATTAGTAGTCTGCGCGAAAACGCCGCTAATTTTCACACACACCTGAACCGCTGAATCGCTCTTTAACTGCCTTACGAACCTCTGCCTATTCAGATCCCAAACAAGGACGGTATCATCGCTTGAGGCGCTAACAAGAGTGCTGAAAGATCTCGACATCGCCATGATAGTGACTGGCTTGACATGCCCAAACAAGCATGTCTTGAGTTGAAGTTCGACTGATCTTGAGGTATTTTGAACTTGCCACATAGAAATCGTGCCGTCCGTCCCGGCAGTAATCAGCGTTCTGGGGTCAGCAAAGATGGCAGAGGATACCTGCCCTCGATGCAGATGTTCGTGGTGGCCGCATAGCTATTTCAATTAGTTTCAGTGATAGGGAGGGGAGCCGGTTATTATGGCTCACTTTTTTGTTATCGAAATGATAGAATCGCACACTTCCGTCGGTAAACCCCCACTCCATATATTTATCGTAAGTAGGGGGGAGATTGAGTCTAAAGGAGCTTGAGCAAAATACCCGCTCACACCTGGCCGAGTATACAAGGGAGCTAACTCTCTCACTGTTATCTGTGATTGTTAGCTGAGCCCTAAGGATTTTTAAGGTATCCAAAACCTACCGAGAAGAGGAAATGGAAGTCTAATTAAGGATTCAGCGCCAAGGTCTAACCTCGCATTCTTGTGGGTTATCTCCTCTCTCACCGGGTGCGCCCTAGTGAAGACTTGATGAGGAGTTTGACCAAAGTTATGAATGATTCCTATAGTAGCCAATCTCACAACAGGGTCTTGTATGCTATCTAAATCGATCGCGCCATGATACGAGAGGTGATGGAACACATTGGTCGCCTCAATAGCGGCCTCACCCCGCTGCTTGAATCCAAACACAAGATCAACCCACTCATGGAGGTGTTGACTCACGTATGGGCTCTCGAGGGCCTCTCGATGCTTTGCAATGAATATTTTGGGGTCCCCCTTTGCCCATGGTGGGAGTTTGACCGAGTCGATAGCTTCATCAGTCCCCTGCTTCATACCAAAATTGTATGCATTAGAGTTTACTAGGAACTCTGGCAAGAAGAAAAACTCGGGAATCAACTCTCTGACATCAGTCATATTATCTCTCGAAGCCGATGCCCAGGCCTTTTCAATGGAGTAAAACAACCTGTCTGCGTGGTCAAACGATCCGCCCTGTAGGAGTAGGTACGACTGGACGAAAGGCTGAAGTCTGATAAGGTACGAGCAAACAATCATAGCCGATGAGAAATGTGTGCCATAGTGAAAGGGGGGAGCTTGCCGATCGCCGATCTCCTCGAAAGAGCGGTATCGCTCCCGGAATTCATGCTGCCTGTCCTGTGTCTGCGCGCCCATAGGTTTCGAAAAATCCCGGAAGGTTCTCGGATTTGTCAAATCCAGCTCCTCGCTGGTGTAATCTGCCAGAACCCATGGAAAGACTGGGTACTGGGTTAGGTCATTGAAAGTTCTCCCTGCCATGGTGTTCACAAGCATAAGGTAATGAAAATTTGAGATTTCCCCTTTAATCCATTTCCTTGTCGCAGGGTTAGGAATGTTAGATGTGAAGACATTAACGAGCTTGGATCCAAAGTTTGTCGCGTTATCCTGTGTCTTCAGTGCTTCGATCCGCCACGCATCACCAACATGGAGCAATGCCGGGTTGTTATTAACATTAGTAGCTTTTGATAGGAGCTTAGAATGTAAAAAGTCTCTATCTTTGGCAGCCATAGTTGTCAAAAGGTAACTCCGGCCATCCGAGAAAAACAGCTCCAAAGCTACATCCCTGAATAGGAACCGCCGTTTACTAATGCTAATCATATCTTCATATGGCCAATGCCTAGTCTCGTGATCGCTATTAACGGAGACGGATTTCCGATCCTCGGCTTCTCTCCCGGAAATCATTTGTAGATACTGATCCCTTTCGTCCTTAGGCGCCTGCCAGACGTTCACGATTTCCCCATCGGACCGTTGGAAGAAGTTGTCGATAAGGTAGAGGCAGTTTTTCCCCAAGATGAGAAGCCCTTCCACTGCATCCAATCCGACCAGCCTAGAGACGTTTTGAACATACTCAACCACATCACCATGCTGGATTGTTCTCATGACTTTTCTGTTTTTGTCTTCCCAGCCGTCATCGTCTTCCCGTGGATCGTCCACTAATTCATAATCCTCTTCAAAATCGTCTTCGCCTCCATCGCGCGCCGAGTTGTGCTGCGACTGGTCAAGTGAGTCTGTCTCTCTGGTTGTGATAATACTAATCTCGTCGTCCTCCACGGATAGCGAATGGGATTTGCTTGCCCCGGCATTCCCGCCCAACCCGCCTGTAAGCCTCCGTTTGGGCTGGTAGTTGTGCAAATGAGCGCTTGAGTCTGGCAACATCCGCTTTCGCATCCGATTCCTCCCCTCAGTCAAGTCCAACCGCCATTTAGTCTCTTGGCCGTCATCAAGTAGTCCACAGGGCCTCACGAGATCTGTCTCAAGTTTTGAATATGAAGAGATAACATAGCTCAAACTGTCCTGCTGATCTTGCGTGGCCCTCTGAAATTTAAGATGTTCCGAGTTATAGATGTTGACCATCCAGTGCGAGGATGCAGACTCGTGGCGACGATAAACGTCCTCGTTGTTCATGTCATCTAAAATCCACTGCTTCAGCTTTTCCTTGCGTTTTGAAGATCGGGCCTTCGCAGTTTCCGTGGTTCTCTTGTTTTCCTCCGCGACAAAGGATTCCCATGTCTTAGAAAGAGCCCCGTAGAAAAAGGCGTCCAAATCCTCTCGGTGATCGTCAATCCAGTCCAGCCAAGTATCATTGTCCTAGAAATATGTCAGTTCATTTTTGACCCAACAAATCCTAGCGAAAACATCCTACCAATTCCAGCAGTTTTGTAAAACCTGAAGACAACTGCTTATGATCAATTGTTTTGGCTTGGTTTAGTAATGCCGACGTCTCTGCTGGTTTCTGTACTAAGACAATCCGCAGCATCTAAATGGAAAGATGAAAAGAAAAAGAAAAAAGCACACAGTAAGCAATTATTGACTAAGAGAAAATATCAAATTAAACCAAACAGGAGCACAAACATTGGCAGCAGCGAGTTTTATGTCTTGTTGTTGGCCTATCAATCGGGTATAGAGAAGATAGCATATAAGCCTCGTAAACTCGCCCTCCGTGTTTTCCGGGGAAAGAATAACCGCTTGCCAATACATCATCTTTCCGAGAAAACCAACCACTTGTCGGGGATCTGATTTTGGATCATCAAGTTCTGACAGTCTAAAAAGAACTAGTCGCGATACCGCGGTTCTTAGACCTGCTGCAGTTTGGCTACATAGACGAACACTCTTTTGTTTGGCAACTTCCGGCCGCTGTATATATTCCAATATTGTTCCAACGAAATCGAGCAAGCTTTCAGCCCCATTCAAGAACCACCCTAGAGATACTATTAGCCTACCCTACCACAAGCTAGGGGCGGCTAACCACACTAACCTTCATATACACAGTCGGTCATATGTGCCGCAAATCTCCCAATACTAGTCAAGACTCGTGGTTCGCAAAGCTTCTTTCTATCGAATCCTAAAATGTTGTTGAGATGATTCAAGGTGTTCCGGAGTAGATAAGTTTCAAAGTAAATCTGGTGCTCTTGAAATCCGGGAGGGATCTGAAGCGAGATTAGTGTCAGGACAGGTGACTTATGCTGTTGACCCCCGAGCGACATTTCCCCTACCTTTGTGCTCAGTCCGAATCCTGTAAACTCTCTCCTCTCCAGCACCAGGTCTGAAAGCACAGTCATAACAAGCTCAAGAAGGCTTTCCACGACTAAATTGGAAACAGTCAGGCCCGACACTACGCTGCCGCTATTCCTCAAACCAGGCCCAATGGCGGGCGAAAGGCGTGCGGAAGAAGGAGTATAAGGCGTCGGCTCTGATGTTACAAGTATAAAGCTGGAGCCTCTCCTTAACCTATCTGATCGTGGTGCGGTTGGGCTAGGAGGCTCGTCAACAGTCACAGTTCGGACAATAGGAGGAGCAACATTCGAGACCAAAGGTCGAATCACTACATCTCCGCCGTCAAATGTCAGTGCTGAATCTTTCGAATTCAGCTCCGTTTCCGCACTGACATGATCAGAGCTACAAACAATCGGAAACAGGATTCCAAGCATCTCCCGTATGAAAGACGAAGTCGCGCAAAATTCCCGGAAGGCTGGGCAACTTGTATGCAAGTGCGCAAAGAACTGTATAAGCGTATTGAGCATCCCTGCCAGTTCCCCAAGCCTTTTACCCGCCGTTTTATTCGTTACTATATCAGAACAAATTTATTAGAATACTTGCATAGGCTGAGAGCCAGATCAGGGGCTTACCTGACTGAGGCGACTTGTCACTGAGGGATAATGAGCGCGCTCTAGAGGTCTTCGGTGTTTGCAGTTTACCGTCATCTAGATTCTTGTTATCCCCCGGCACCCTGGTTCCCTCTTCGCTCTGATCCGCAACTATAGTGCCAAGGCCAGCTTTCAACATTCCCGCAATGACTGGGAGCATCTCAGGATATGCCACTTTTCCGCTCCCAGCATCGGAGAACATCTCAGCAAGACCAAACAAATCTAGTGGTCTCGAGACATCAATCTTGGCTACATCCTTCCCAAAAAACACGGCAAAGCATATGGGCCACAGAGGGGCCACATTCCACCACCTCTTTAGCCTATTCCGCATAGCGATAAACCCCCCTGTTTTTAATCCAAACTTCGAGACGTAACTGCCACCATGGACAACCAGTAATCGAGCTAGAATCTTGGCGCCAATAATAACTACTTTAGGATCGCTCTCGGCCAACAGGTACAACAACCACTGCGATTATTAGGGACATTAGCAACTCTGAAGAATATAGTACCAGAACGCGCATTTAAGGATAGACCATAATAATTGCGACCCAGGACACAGATGTTGGACATGCTCTTAGGCCAGGGCCTTCCTCAGCATACACAAAAAAAGTTTAAGAATACGTACCTTATTGGTAACTGTTCTAGCAAATTTCTTAATATTGCCAACTCCGTTCCCCTCCTCAAACAAAAGATCTTGATACATCTCTAAAACCATCACTCCGACCTGCTGCCTAGTAAGGCCATCACCACTCAGATCATTCATGGACCTGGCCGGTGATAGAGTTGCACCTGCGATGCCAACACCCATAGTCGGTTGTCGGCGTAATTGTACATTACTCTTTTTAACTCTTAACGGCTTCGCGGGGTTATTCTTGTGTAATGAGTAGGTGATAAAGAGAGCCAATGACCGGAGAACATCCGCAGACATATTTGTCTTCACAAGCGTCTTGAAAGCAGCCATAAAATCAGGAAGCACCTCACGAGAGAATACTTCACCCTTAAGAGCGAATATCAACTTCTTAACAATCCCTATTGACGACAGACAGGCCAAGAATGGCCAGTATATCAGTCAAGGCCTCCAAATGGGGCAATGAGGGACCAGCAGGTACTCACGCATACGGAACAGCCTCTTGGAATTGAAGTGATGATATTTGCTCCCGTTACAAAATGTCACAAACTGCGCAAAGTATTCTCTTTGTGTCTCCGTATCCGCTTTCCTCCACATGTCGAAATCGACGAGCAGAATCCTGTACGCAAGAGGATTAATGATGAAACTCTCCTCCGGAGCGTCATGCTTGAACCCCACGAATTCCAAGATGACTCTTAGCAAATCCTTGCCAATAACATCCTTCCCTTCTTTTGTTCGAATAAGATGCCCCAGAATTGCAAATCCATTGTCCCTCTCCATAGCCTCACTATTCCTCCAAGAGCCCTTCGTGATTTCAAAAAGAATCTCCACGGCCCTACAAACCTGCTTTGCAGTTTTTGCAACTTCAACCATCTTCAACCCCACAGCCGCTGCACCGCCAATTGACCAGGCGGCATCATCCAGGGATTGTGGAACGATGACAACCGGCTCACCAGTCATAATTGCTACTCCATGGGTTAAGCATAGTGCCTCATTCACCGACGGAACTGCTCCATTAATTGCTACCGCTCCCGCTCTCGTCAAAGACTGTAGATTCTTCAATGCAGGCCGAGAAAGAGCCTTCACTAATAGCGACTCGTCTATGTTATTATCATTTTTGTCGTCGAGAACCTGTTGCGCCGAAAGATTGAGCAGCACCTTGGCCTCCGGGAGTATGGCTGACGCCTTGCTCCTTATAGCAGATATTATATCGCTCCTTTCCTCTTTTCCGGGGTGCATAAGCTCATTGCGCATATTCAATGCTGCCGAGGCCTCGTACGTTTGAAAAGACCCCAGGCAATCTTGAAAGTTCCCGTGATACCAGGGCCCAAGGCGATAGTGCACGGCAATAAGGTCGTCCGAGAGAACATCCTCAAATAAATGAGCAGTTCCAAGACTCCATCTCGATGAGACCACACCTTGGCCAACACGGGGGGACAAATCCGTTGGAGTTCCGAGGAAAACCTGAACTGGCGTTGAAGAGGTTGGCGGGTTTTGGGGGTAGGTTGCTTTGACTTGTTCTACAAATTCACCATCAACATAAAGAGCGGCCTTCGCCGCCGAGGTGGCCCGAGGTCGTCGATGCACAAGCGAAATGTGATACCATTTTTGGGGCTCAAAAACAGTGGATTTAAACCTAACACTTGCCCGTGGCGATGCCACAGAGGTTTGCAGAATAAATTTTCGAGTGTCTTGCTCTATGTAAGCCAGAACAAAGCAGCGTTGTGTTGAATCAAAGACCCCGAAAATAGTGGTATGCATTGTAGGGTCAAAGGTGTCAATGCAAATCCAAGCGGAGAACGTGAAACCACTCGTATGGGTGGGGGGGAATGAACGGCCTATAGAACCAAGTTCCATGGATGCATATCCGTGAAGCGAAAGGTCAAATTGAATGTGCGGAGGTGTCCGTGAGATCTTGAGGCCCTGGAGCAGGAAAGAAGCAACAGAATCATCCACCATAGCCCGTTTGTAAAGATACTTGGCATCGTTCAAGTGATTTATCCCGAGCTGCATGAGATACTGAGCAAATTCTTTGAGAATAGCCCGCTCTAATTCCGGGACAGAGGCGTCCCATAGGCGTGGGATAATAGTGCTTAATATGCCCGTTGAATGCATAGCAGCCAGGTTTGATTTGCTCGAAGAAGCTATAGACAGCAGGGCCTGTAAAACAACAACTGTTGTAACCTTGGATCCTTCTGTCCGTTCCATCGCTGTCTGAAAGCTGAGGATCAATGGAGTAATTTCTGCATTCACAAGTATATCTTTAGAGCCAAAGCTTCCTCTAACTTTAGCGCGCACTTTCCCCACAACATCCTTCTCCTTCCTATATTTACCATCCGATGCCAACCCCCGTTTAACAGATACCACTAAACTTGATAGTGTAGCATCATCCATCGCAAAGGCCAAGATAAGTCCAAACAATTGGTCGGGCGCCTCCGTGGGAAGCCCAGTCGCGGCAAGACCCTGCTCCAGACTATCCCAGCCGATTCTCCTCGCAAAGAACCGCTTGTTTCCGGGATGGTTGAGCAGAGCTTCCGAGACCACACCGAAGAGACATTTAATCAGCTCTATGAAATGGTTTTTCTCCTCGTCCGTCCGATTCTCGGAGGTGTAGAAACCAGAACATGAATGGAGCGCAGAAACCAAGTAGTTAAAGCCCTTGAGAGCTCGAAACGTATCTGTTCCCGACAGGTATGGTCAGCGGGACTGTATGGATGACAAAGCGCAAACTCGAAAGGAGCATGGAGCAACAAACCCTTAGCTTCGGGAGAGTCCACAAGAATACGCTTAAGCAACGACAGCCATTGCAGACGGACAAGAACATCGGGATCCGAGGCGGAAGATTCCAGTGAGTCGAGTAGGGGCTTTATCTCGGCAATGAACTTGGGTTTCGTAGAAGCCGCAGAGGACACACGGCGCCGAGTATATGCGGACGGCGGTGAAGCAGCGGAGGCCATGTTGGAGGATGCTGACGGCGAAAGGAGCTATGAAAAAGTCGTTTAGATCATAGAATGAATCAGAAGAGAAGTATAAAATCTAAGGGCCAAAAAGGTGAAGGTAACAGTATCGTAAATTGGGAAGACAAGTCCAGTCGAGATCAATGTGGGGGAGGGGTAGAGGGCGTCGAGGGGAGTCGATGTTGACTTGGAGGAGTTGTGCTCGGAGGAGGCTATGATGCTGAGGTGTTTTGTGTGCAACTGCAGTCGCTGGAGCCGGGCCACACAACACAAGTAACAGCGGTTCAGCTACCGTACTCGAGCACCTTACCGTACCGCAAGACGACCCTAAAGCCACGGATGACCAAAGCTAACAGTTAACTTACTGGGGTACTTGTACCGGTACGGTACAGCACTGGTAGGCTCTATGCCCGAGTTACAAATCCTGAAACTGCAACATCCACAAGGTGAAAAGATATGCCGTCAAATAGCTTTGCCCAAAAATGAATTCCAGTTCCAATCCATTATTAGAGCTCTGTATTCTTTCCCCTCAGTAGTGGTATCATATCATACGAAACGAGAAGTTGCAGCATCGTGCCCGCACCGGCACCACCGGCGTCGAAGCGAGTGCGAGTGCGACAGGCATAAGTTATATATGGTAAACAGGCCAAGCCAAGGCGCCAGAGCGGGACGAAAACATGACTGGTATGATAGACTCTTACTCGAGTATTGTACTAGTACAAGTATCATTCTAGTACGAGTACCGTGCCATGCCCAAGGGGATGGCTGATGATGCGAGACTCTCGTTTTCAGCCTCACATTCCCGCCAACAACACTGTGGGTACCGGTACCGTACGGTACTAGTATTCGTACATGTAGGGTATGTTAATGGTACGGTACAACGAGCGCTCTTCATCCCCGTTCCCCGTATCCGGTTGATGCGATGATACAAATCACGACATCCAACATTGAAAAAATCTGCCCATCCGTGTGAAGGTTCAGGGCAGGCCGAGAACATAAGAGTAAACAAGGCCGGACAAGTGCCGCCCCTGAGAAGAGATGGGGACACGGTCACAGCATACGGTATAATAATGTACTCGAATACCGTACCGGTATTGCCTTTCGCTCCAACTGGAAACGGTGTAAAGTTTTGCCGTATCATGACTTGATGGCCAATTTGCTACAACCGCTGTACCGGTATTCTTATCGCACCATACTGCAGCCATCCATTATCCACGCATAAACTCCATTTCGACATGACATTTTCCCGTATCCCGGTAATGTTACAGGGTACTCGAGTAGGGTGTTAATACAATGCGCGTGTTGCGATGTAGTACAAATGAACCAACTGGAAAACAGGTCCTCGGAACTTCGCGACCGAGGTATGATAGAAAAGTGCATTCTGGTGGAAATCCTACTACCGGCGACCGGTGGTGACTTGTTTTCTTTGCTCCATTTCCACTCACACTGTGCCGATGGCACTAATCACGGTAGTCCATTTCCCCGCAAGTGACCTCGCCGCAGAGTACCACACGAGTGCAACTACGAGTACTCGAGTACCGGTACTGTGTTGTAAATGTTTTCAGGTTCGCTGTGAGCTAAGCTTCCGTCTCCACACACCAGTGGGGGAAGGGGATCCTCAACCACTTGCCACCCGTAATGTTTCTTGGAAGCTAAATCCCACAGCCCTGAGCCCTCCCTCCACCCGGCATCATAGTCTGCCTCCCCCCAGCTGCCACCGTCCTCCAGCTCGGGAGCCGCTCCTTTGCTCAGGGGACACGGGTATTATGGCTCATGTGTCGGGCTTGGAGGTCTCTGTCATACAAGCCCAGAATCCTGGTTCAATGCCATACCCGAGTACTTGTACAAGTACTAGTACACTCACTCCCCGCTGTCCCTGACGGCGAAATCCAGAGAATCTCGGTACGAGTAATCCGGGTTTTAGTGTCAAGAAACTTAGGACTCACGGAGGTTCACACGGGACAGTGGGGTGTGAGTATACCGGGGAATACCGGCACAGGAATACCGTTGCCGTACGGACGCACAGGGTGACAGAAGAGGAATCCGGACCTCGTGTTGTCACCCTGCCCACGCAAAGTCGCCAGCCACCACGTCGCCCAAATGTGGCTTGGCGTAAACACCGCTTACTAAATTCTGAGACCCATAGCCCAGCCCCCCAGAACGGACAAATGGCCCGCCCTGAAGCTCACCTTCTATGCTGCTGTAGCCGCGCTCTTTATCTTCCCCAGCTTCCCCCAGATCCGTTCCCTCTTCCTCCTTCTCCCCTACCACACCCTCCACATCCCCTTCATTCCTTCCACAAGTCCCGACCCAGATTCCATAAATTACTCCCTTCCCTTTGCATTTACTGGTATTATTATATTAGCTGTTTCCCTCCATCATGCATCTTTCTGCCAAGTTCGCGTTGCTCCTTGCATCCATCTCTGTCTCTATCGCTTCCCCCATCCACGATGCCACTCTCGGAAAGCCCGCCCCTCTTGTCACCTCTGCCTCTGTTCCCGAGCATGAAATTCCAAACAACTACATTGTAGTCTTCAAGAAGCACGTCGATGATGTGTCTGCCACTGGGCATCACAGCTGGGTTACCGACCTTCACGAAACATCCATCTCATCGCTCCGGAAGCGAAGCCAGATCCCTCTGATCCGCGGAGAAAGTGACTCTAGCAGCTCTGTTGATGTCGATATTGATTCCTTAACCGGTCTCAAGCACACATACAACATCTCTGGAAGTCTCCTCGGTTACTCTGGCGCTTTTGACGAATCCGTTGTGGAGCGGATTCGTAATCACCCTGATGTAAGTTCCGTTTAACCCCATTCTGAGAGCCTATCCCACCGAGAGCCATGCGCTATACCGCGAGTGCGCGTTGCACGTGACCCTCTCGGGCTAGCCCCAACACTTTTATCGTGGCCGGTCAAGCTAACGTGACACCTTTATCCCAGGTTGCCTATGTTGAGAAAGATGCTAAGGTTTATGCTCTCGAGGAACCTGTAACCGAGCACTCTGCCCCTTGGGGTCTTGCTCGTATCTCTCACCAAGAGAGTCTGAACTTTGGCTCCTACAATAAATACATCCACCAGGCCCACGGTGGTCAGGGCGTTGATGTTTATGTCATTGACACTGGCACTAACACCGATCACAACGACTTTGAAGGCCGTGCCCATTGGGGAAAGACCATTCCTGCTGGTGATGAGGACGTAGATGGCAACGGTCACGGAACCCATTGCTCGGGCACCATCGCAGGAAAGAAGTATGGTGTTGCTAAGCAGGCCAACGTTTATGCCATCAAAGTTCTCCGATCTAACGGATCTGGAACTATGTCGGACGTTGTTAAAGGTGTTGAATACGCCGCCGAATCACACGTCAAGAAGGCCGCCGCTGCTGCCGCCAAGAAGGATAAAAATTTCAAGGGCTCAGCTGCCAACATGTCCCTTGGTGGCGGAAAGGTTCGAACTCCCTCGGATGGGTGAATGCTACTAAAACTAATTAACCCCCCCCTTTTTTTTTCTAGTCGAACGCGCTGGACCAGGCTGTCAATGGCGCTGTGATGCTGGGCCTCAACTTTGCCGTAGCCGCCGGAAATGACAATGCTGATGCTTGTGACTACTCGCCTGCTGCCTCTTCTAAGGCTGTTACCGTTGGTGCTTCTACTCTTGCGGATGAGAGGGCCTATTTTTCCAACTACGGAAAATGCGTTGGTATGTCCATTTTGATCAACCGTCTTCGCTCTTCCCGTTTAACGATCCATAGATATCTTCGCCCCTGGCTTGAACATTCAATCTACTTGGATTGGCGGCCCTGATGAGACTAAGACCATCTCCGGGACCTCCATGGCTTCTCCCCATATTGCTGGGCTCCTCGCGTACTTCATCTCTCTTCAGCCAAAGCAGGGCTCGTCATATGCCGTTGGCGAATTGACTCCCGCTCATCTCAAGAGAAACATGATTTCGATCGCCTCAGAGGGTTGTCTCACAGGTATCCCAGCCGATACCCCCAACCTCCTCGCCTACAACGGCGGTGGATCCGGAAACCTGAGCGACATCTTTGATGGTGCCCGCCACAGGCATGGCCACAAGTCATCCGGCAGAGTGGTTGAGGACGTTACCGATGTCACGGAAGAGCTTATCAACGAAACCGAGGCTTTCCTGGACGATATCGAGGATAAGGCGGTTCATGAGATCAAGACCCTATTCGATAAAGCCAGAGCTGCCCTCAATTCCCGGGATTAGTGAGATTCCTATAATACCCAACGCAATTCCTGCCTTTGTTGCATGTCATGGGTAGTACGATCGCTATGGTCGTTTCATGGATGTGATGGTGTTTTCTCTTCTGCGCAAATATTGTGGGCCTTTCTGTTGTGTCTAGACAGTTTTGACCTTCAGTTACAGGTTTGTCGGAAAGTAGTACCTTTATTTGTTTTCCTTGCACTGTTTTTCAATAGTTTGGTCTGTACTTTTTACAATTTGGGATTTCGTTTTGCTTTCTGCGCCTGGATATGGATTTGGATTAAATCAGACATGGGACTTGAGACCGCCCTTGTAAACATGGAGTGTGTAGTCGCCGCTGCCGGGACGTGATGCGGTAAAAGTTGTATTGATGAACCTTTGTCAGTGCGGCCCAGTTCGATCCGAGATCTCCCTGATGCGCTCTGGATGATGCGGGGTAGCCTACTGCAGGTACACGTTTTCTTTCCACACGGGCCGTGGGTGCAGAGCTGCCGGCTTGATGAAACTTGTCCAGTCGGAATCAATCTCAATTTTCGGGGATGAAGAAGGCGTCGAAGCCTTCATATTCCAGCATGATCCCGCAAACACAATTTACGGGTAATCGAATTCCCCCATCACGTTGTTTCCATAGCGAACCATGGGCGCATCTCTCAGCCAATAAGTAACGGCACGCCTCAGCCCGTTTCTGTCCTCCCAATCCCATGCTGCCCATTTGTACTAGTACGAGTACTCGAGTACCGGTACCCCAGATAAGCACTCATACCCCTCAAATATATTCCCCTCTTCTACGGGGGTACAGCGCCTAAGTTTTGTATATTTTGCTAGCAAGGGTTATTCAGCTAGCAGGGGGCAGGGGTAATGAATTAGGTATAGTGGTTTCAGGTATTTCAGCATTGGGTTGTGCAAGATATTACGAACTTGAAGATAAACAACTTTTATTTCTTGTATCTTAAATACATTGTTAATATTTTGTAAAGAGACCATTTGTGTTAATAACAGCTTGACATCTCACTAGCATACTCTCTATAAGTTCCTGGAACTCATAATCTCCAACACTCTCTCATGCTTCCTTAACTGCAACCTGTAATCTATCATAGGTCATATGTTCTGGAAAATTATCTTGCAGATAATTTTTCATAATATGCCATACTTTTTCAATAGGGTGTAAATCTGGTGAAAATACAGGCAAATGAATAACTTCAATGCCTCTTTCCCATAACTCAGCTACTGTATTTCCAGCAGCATGTCTATTGACTTTGGTCTACCGTCACAGGGCCCTTTCTCTCCTTGGGGGTTGGTCATTCGGAGGCCCTCCTTGGCTGGCTAGCAGGTGGTAGGATCCCCTCCACTACAGTGATGCTATCTCTCCCAGAACAAGGGACTACATGAGAGACGTGATAAAATACCTGCTTTGCTTTGCCTAGGCGGCTGTTGATGATCTTCCTTACTCCCTTTTCTCCTCCCTCCATGTGTGGTGGGGAGCCCTCTCCTCCTCTTGAGTTGGCCTTGCTTAGCCTTCTCACAGTCAGCAACCTCTTAACCACCATTGTCAGACGGCTGGGACTACAGTTGCAGTAGGGGAGAACAGCCAACAGGCTACGGTTGATCTCCCCATTCTCTTGTTCTCCTAAGAGGCTGCCTAGTCAGACACGAACGCGATACCGATAAATGATGTTTAAGGTCTTTGGGTCTACCCCTCAGCTCTCCTCTCCCTACCGTCGGATTGGCTGGCACCCTACTGCTACACCTTCCCCTCCCCCCGGTTATTGCCCACGGCCTGCTGGTCTCCTCCTTCCCTCGATGGTATTGCACTGCCTCCTTGGAGTGGGTCTGGGGGAGGCCCCCTATCTTAGCACGCTTTGGGCGTTGCTTTGCGCTTGAATGAGTGGACTTGCCCTTCAGAGCCTACGTGGCTTGCTACTAACCTTTCTTTTGTCTTTTTGGGATTTCTCAGTGGGTTTTCCTGGCCCTTCCTGCTTTCTTCTTAGTTATGATTTCCTTGTTCATCCCTCTAGCCGGGCTTGGGTTTCTTTTCTTTGAGGCGAGATGTACAGTTGGCTCCATACCAGAGGGGCTTAGGGGGTTGGTGTCACAAACTGTGACTAAGCAAGGCAGATTTTACATAGCTCGGATTTCCAAGCTATAGGTATGTGGGGATTTCACATGACGTACACTAGTGCGCCATAGGTTATTATGTTTACCTGTTGGTGACTCACACTTGTGAGTCACACGATGTTATGATTTTCGCACATGACTCAAGTTATGAGTCATGGGTTTCACTCAGGTGACGCGAGTTGCGCATCTGAAATAGTTATTAAGGTTTTGATTAGGTTTAGGCATGTTGCGCAGCGACTCATAAGAGTCGGCTGATGGATTTCGTGTGACTCATAGTTATGAGTCACAAGGGTCGTGTGACACATAAGTATGAGTCACGCCAGGTGAAGAGCTACTATATAAAGGGTCACTAGGACCCCTAGTATTAGCTCTTCACACGTTCTTCTTATTTATTTCCTACCTTTAAGTTATTATCAATAAAACCTACCTTTACGCTCTTTAAGATTTATCTTAAGAAACCCGAGAATTGTCTTTCCTCTCAAGCGAGAAAACTATTTCTCCTCCCATGTCGAACGACTAAGTCCTAATCAAGGACTAAGAAGGATAAGAAGATAGGCGCAAACACGATAGTAGTCAAAGGACTGGACTATCGGGATCGCATAGGCATAGGCCTAAGAGCTATCACCTTACAGAGAAGTATCGTTACCTGTCGCTAGGTCCTACCCAGTAGGATTCTTAACAGTTGGCTTTTTCCTGTGGCGAGAGGAGGGATATGGGTTTTTTGTCGTCATAGCTAGCACTCCATACATTTTTTATATCCTAAACAAATAATCAATGAGTCAAACAAAAAACAAAAAAAACAAAAAAAACAAAAAAAAATCCCTAGCTTTAAGTCCATCCTCCATCTCCCCTACATCTCTGGTGATTGAAAACTCAACACCATGGTTACTATCATGGCTTTCATCGTCTAGCACCACCACCCTCCCCCCCCATCTCCCCCCCATCTAGTCTGAGCTATAGGAGGTGGACTTGCTTTCCCTCTCCCTTGAGGCCTTTATTTATTTATTGGCTCTCTTGGTTCTATCCTTGGTTGGGGTCTTTTGTCTTCGCAATGTTTCTCCTCTTCCTACCCTCCCTCGCTTAGGTATTGGCATGGTCGGCAACCTCCTTTTCCAACTTCGACAGACGGCTGGGACTACAGTTGCAGTAGGAGAGAACAGCTTACAGGCCACGGTCGATCTCTCCATTGTCTTGCTCCCCTAAGAGGCTGCCTAGTCAGACATGAACGCAATAACCGATAGTTGTTGTTCATGGATTTGGGTCTACCCCTCCTCTACCCTTCTCTATAGTCGGATTGGCTGGCATCCTACTACCACCTCCTTTCAAGCTGGCACCTTACTGCTACAATTGTCGATTGTCCCGGAGGGTATACGGTCGCTGGCATGCCTGCCACATACCTCCTCTCCTCACTTCTTGGTCGCCGCCTTCGGAGTGGTTTCCCTTATACCCTTTGCGTCCAGGGCTTTGGCTCCCTCCTTCTGGCCCTCGTCATATGGCCTAGGGGTTCCTATATTGGATTTGAGTTGTGATCGTTGGCCCTTAGGTCTTTGGTTTGGGTTTCTGCCTTTAAGTGTTTCGTTCTTGGGGTGTTGGTAGGTTCTTGGTTCACTGTTAGGTAGTTAGCTTTCTTTTGTCGCTTGGGGGTGGGGGTTATTGGGTAGAGCAGTTTACGGGAAGGATTACGGGTGGGAGTAGTTTTTTCTACCCTAGAGGGTTCTTTTAGCTCTGTCGTTCAGCCTGGTCCGGGGGGGGGGCAGTTTTTTAGGCATCATAGCTAGCGCTCCATATACCTTTTTGTCCCATAAACAATAATTTAAATGAGTTAAACAAAAACAAAAAAATCTCTAGCTTTAAGTCTATCATCAGCGACTCAGACTGGAGAAGAGATCTTATCAATATATTGATTCTACTTTACTTCTATCTTTACGAGCCTTCTTGACTATCTCTGAGATGGAAGATTACAGGACCTAGTATATACTTGCTTGACTTTAGAGTTACCTACCCCCTAACACTTTCCATAATAGGGGGTTTCCACATTGCCAAATATCAATGGAACTCTCACTCATCA